CCATGTTTTAGGCGCACGGCCGAGCCGCGGCAAGCAGCGGGGCTTCCCCTGGCGGTTTCAAGGTGCTTCGCCACCCGGGTCTCCGAGCTGCGGCGCACCGCACCGGTTAGGGAGAAGTCCTTGTGCGTGCGGTGTGCCACTGCCTTTCAGCTTGACTCACCACTCTGGCATAAGTCGGAGTCCGATCCGCCCTCTCCGGCCGCTTCGATCTGTTGGCTTTTTCTTATCTTCGTTCTTCTTCTCGTATCGTGCACTTTTTCTAATATTTTGGAGCTCCTAAACTAACTTTCTGTTTCTCAGACGCCACTGAGACAACGATTACAGACGTCTTGGTTTTTTTCGGTGAAAATTCCCGCCTCCACAAAATTGAGTAGATAACGGAATTACCGAGTGTTTTGCCTGATTCAGGATAATCTAAACTGACTTAATATAAGTTTAAAAAGTCCCAAGTTCGGGTGTGCCATATGTAGGAGACGCAAAATCCTTATATAATAAGGAAAGACACCTCTTCGTGTGATGGTGAGCAAAGAGACTTTATTTTAAAATCTGCGCTGTTTTATCCTTTAACACCATGTGACTTCTTTAGCCAATAAGGTTACCTATGTCGGTGCATGCTCCCCTGGGCTCCTCTGCCCCGGCAAGTACCCTGTGCCTTGGACACGCCTCCCCCAGGATACCATCACGTCTAGCTGCTGGAGAACCTGCAGCAGAAAAATGTGAAGATGCCAGGACATCCTCAATGTGGCCAAGGTGCCCAAGAGTGGAGGAGTTCAGAGCAGCAAGAACTGGTGGAACTGTGCTCCCACCTGACTGGAGCTGCTGACCATGTCCTGGTGGACCACTTGCCAGCAGTGGTGGGGAACTGCTGTGGGTCTGCCCAAGCACAGGAAAAAACAAAAGGCTCACCCTTTCCTGGAGCCTCTCCCCAGTCATCCTCTCCAGGACACCAGAGTAGAATCTCATTTGCCGTCTCCCACCTTCGCTGAGGAGCCCCTCTACATCCCTCAGGACAAAGGCCATCCTCTCCCCCTTCCCCAGGCAGTGGGACAGGAGGGATGTAGTGCTGAGGATGCAGCCTTCCACTTTTCTCTGGAACACAAAGGCCTCCACAGCCACTTTGGCATAATTCAGAGGCTCCAGCTGCTTATTTCCTGGAAAACCACGCGAGAGGGACAGAGGCACTCCCCTAGGGCCTGGCCACGGGCATTTCCCAGGAACTGCATATTACAACCATCACCCAGCACGTGGGGCCTTCCTGGGTTCGGACCTGTGCTGCAGGGGGGAGCTGTTTGCTTTTAGAAAAGGGATGCAATATCCTCCTTCACCACAGCCCTGCAGCCAGCCAGGGTTTAACCTGCTGTCTGACCGGCCAAGTTGTCCTTATTATCCAGGAGACTGTGGGCTAATGGAAGACAGAGCACGGGCTTCTGGAGGATCACAATCTTGTTCTCCATTTGGGTCTCTGTGTGGACCACACTGAAAAAGCTGAGAGTGTGAATTTGGATCCCCTGGAGCAGAAGGGAAGAGCCTAAGGAGGTGAGCCAAGCTTGCCCAAAAAGGTCTGGTAGTGAAGCCCCCAGCAGCCGGACTGTTGGAGCTGACGTGTGACAGAGGGGACACATGCACCAGCATAGAGAGAGCAGGACAAGCACTCTCACCAGAGTAGCTTAGGACCTACCCTACTTATAAGGACATGAGGAAATAGGTCTTTGGATAAAAGAAAGCTTTGAGCCCTCCAAATTGCAGCCCAAATCCCAAAAAGGGACCTTTAATCCCCAACAGGGCAGCTGTGGAAGTTAAAAAGAAAGGAATGGGGCCCAAAAGGAGCATTTGAATTCTCAAAAGAAGGATTTTGACTCTACAAATGAGGCTTTGGACCTTCCAGATCAGACCTTGGGCCTTAAAAATTATGGTCTTGGCCCTCTCAATGAGGCTTTGAACTTTAAAGCATAAATCTGGGAACTTTTAGGTCTGGTTTTATAGTCCAAAATTGTGAGTTTGGACCTTTAATTGACCCTGGTCTCCCAAATGTGGGTTTTGGGTATTTAAAAGGGATGCTGCTCTCCCTACTTTGAGGCTTCATCATATAAATAGGGGTTTGTGCTTGGAAAACTTGAGGTTTGATCTGCAAAATAATAAAAAATAATTCTTTGGGATTGAAATTGAACTTTGGGCTTGAACTTTTTTATTTTGAGTTTTCACTTTTTTTTTTTTTAATAATACTGCAATAGATGGTTGATATTCCAGGGAACATGCTGGGGTGGGTATTGCAATACAGGGAATGCTTGGAGGAAGGGGTTATCACAGTGGTGGGAGGGAATTGCAGTAGATGTTGTGACATGGAAGAAGGAGATGCCAATGTGTGGGGCTGGAGTGAAAGTTTACCTTGATGAACACACACAAGGTGTGTGGTGATGTCATCATTCCTGGGGGGCTGGGAGGGGACCCAGGTGGGGGTTCTCTGATGGCAGATACAGAGATGAGCAATGTAGGGGGCCTGACAGGCCTGGTGGAGGTGGGGGGAGGGCAGGGTGCAAGGCAAAGCGTGTACAGTAGAGCAATGGATGTGGGTGCAGGTGTGATATGGATGTGGGTGCAGGTGTGATATGGAGGGGTGCAGGTGTGATGTGGATGTGGGTACAGGTGTGATGTGGGTGGGTACAGGTGTGATATGGAGGGGCTGCAGGTGTGATGTGGATATGGGTATAGGTGTGATATGGATGTGGGTGCAGGTGTGATGTGGGTGGGTACAGGTGTGATGTGGCTGGATACAGGTGTGATGTGGATGTGGGTACAGGTGTGATGTGGATGTGGGTACAGGTGTGATGTGGATGTGGGTACAGGTGTGATGTGGATATGGGTACAGGTGTGATGTGGATGTGGGTACAGGTGTGATGTGGATGTGGGTACAGGTGTGATGTGGATATGGGTACAGGTGTGATATGGATGTGGGTGCAGGTGTGATGTGGGTACAGGTGTGATATGGATGTGGGTGCAGGTGTGCATGGAGTGGGGTGCAGGTGTGCAAGGCACAGGGGATGTGTGTGCAAGGCACGGGACATGCAATAGAGCGGTGCCTGGGCAGCCCCGTTCCCGACAGCCCCGACCTCCCACCCCAGCCCCCAGTTGCTCACATCCTCATACCTCAGCAGTGCCAGTGCCAGGATCACCAGGCATGACACGTGCTGGCTGCCCCTCGTGCAAAAGCATCAGCTCAGCCACAGGCCAGAATTGTGATTTCACAGCTTTGATGACAGTGTCAGCAGAGAGGATTCTGTGCATCACGTCAGGGAAAGAGCCCCAGAGCCTGGGATAAGGAGGGAGCAACTGGGGGGAAGGGAATGGGACCAGTTTTATTCTGGAACACGTTTGCATTGCTCCTTTGGTTTCTGTGCTCAGCACCAGGAGCTGGATGTGTTTTGTCCATCCTTGAACAGCCAGCACCACTGTGAGCAGCCCCAGACCCCTCCAAGGTTGCAAGCCAAAGTGTTTTGCCCATGTTGGAGGCAGGTCCTTTCCTGGAGGCTCCCTGGGACTCTGTCCAGGCATCTCCAAGAGTGTTGTGGTTTCGTCTGGCAGCAACTGAAGCCGTGGGGAGTAGCTGCAGATGCCCCCAGGTAGGTCATGTACCTGTTGTGTCCGTGTTAGAGGCCAGTCCATGTCTGGCAACCTCCCAGGATTCCTCCTGGGCACCACCAAGAGTGTACTCACTTCCTCTGGAGGTGGCTGAAGGCTTGGGCAGGAGACCAAGACTCCTCCTGGGTGTTTTGTTGAAGAGTTTGATTCCTGCTGAAGGCAGGTGTGTGTCAGGCAGGTCTCTGTGACTTGGGAGTCCTCCCCAGCAGCTTGAAATGTTGTGCTTCTCATGGAGATGGTGGAATGTTGACGGTAGGAGCCTCCCATGCAGTAGCAAAGCCCCACTGTGAGATGACAAAGCCAGACCATGAAGTCACAAGGCCAGGCATTCATGTGCAGTGTGGGGCAGGTGCCACAGGCATCACTCCAGCAGCTGCAGGAGCAGCAGCAGTGTCAGCAGAGCCTGCACTGACAGTGCCAGCAGTGCCAGTGCCTGCAGTACCTGTAGTGCCTGCAGTGACAGTGATGGTGACAACAGTGAGCAGTGACAGTGCCAGCAGTGGCAGTTCCAGCAGTACCAGCTGTGCCAGCAGCAGCAGTGACAGCATGGTGCAGGCGCGGTGGACCCTGGCCCTCATCCTCCTCCTGGTGGCCCTGCCAGCCAGGGGTGTCGGGGCTGCTCCGTGGCGACCATGGGCAGTGGGTAGGTGGGCAGGCCAGGGCCAGGCCCCAGCTCTGGCAGATCCCCATGGGGAATGGGGACTTGCAATTCAGCTGACACACTTTCTCTCTAAAGCTCTGGAGCGTGAGCCTGTGGATAAGAAGGCACCTCAGGAAGACCATCAGGCAGTGCCGGTCCCCGGGGAAAACACCGGGGCCGTTCAGCCAACAGGAGTGTCAGGTAATCGCTGTCCTTCGGCCACCCGGCAGCATCCGCCGAGATCCCGAGTGTCTGCAGGCCCTGCCCCGCTGCTGCTGCTGCTGCTGCTGCTCCTCGTGTCAGCAGCTCCTCTCTGTCAGGAGAGAGCCAGAGCTCTGCCAGCAGCCAGGAGCGACTGGGGTCCCTGTCACCTCGGGACAGGGGAGGTTGTGGCCGTCACTGTGCCAGGAACACGCACTCAGACCCTCTGTGGATGTGGGGAGAGGCTCACTGCCCCCCACATCCTGTTCTCAGGGATTTCACAACTTTGCCCTTTTGGGAACTAGGTCACCTGGACCCCACTCAGCAGATCACAGGAAATGCGACTGGATTGAATGTCCTTCCTGCGGCATCTGCATCCCAGAGCTTGCCAGGAGGCCCTGGAGGCCCTGGCTCAACAGAGGGGATCCCTCCTGGGAACTGGGGTCCAAAGGGCTGCACTGTTGAGTCCAGCATGGCTTGGGGGGACCCTGCACCGTCCTCCTGCAGCCTCTGTGCCTGACCCATGCTGAGGCTTTACCTTTCCCTGATCCTTGGCAGTTCTGGCGAGTCCTGGGGAAGGCCCCCACTCTGGGCTAGAGGAATGTTTTCCACATTATCCAGGCACTGGGCAGTCCTGCCAGGGGCCATACATGGGAGACAAGACCTGAAAACTGGGAGCAGGCAAGCGCTGCCCATGCTGGAGAAAGGGCAGCGAGAGAGAGCGAGGTTCAGGTGTCTCCTGAGGGCCCGAGTGTGTCCCCTCAGAGTGTGGGTGCTGGGCTGTGGAGGGAGAGCTGGGGGTGGCCCTCCCTGACACAAGGAGGGGTTTTGTCCACCTCATTCCAAGGGGATGGGTTTTGTCCATCTCACTCCAAGGGACAATTGGTCCCTCCTTGCTCTCCATCTGGCCCCCTGAGTCCTGTCTGGGGGACAATGTGTCCCCCACGGTCAGAGAGAGTGTCCATCAAGGCAGCACCCACCAAGCCTGGAAAGGGAAGGTGAGCGCCTGCAAGAGAAATTGTGGACAGATGTGAAGGATCCACAGGAATGGGGAGCAAAGCCCGGGTGTACCATGTTGTTCCATGATCCCCTCTCCTGTTCTGCTATTCAGTCAGGACAGAGGGTGCCCCAAGGTGTGACAGGAGCTCCTCATGGGGGGTCTGGTTGCAGCTGTGGGCACAGGAAGGGCTTTTCCTGCTTCTTGGCTGGACCCTGCGCTGGAGAGGGTCACGAGTCAGTCCTAACTGACTGCACAGCCTGAGTGCTGCTTCCAGGGTTTGCTGGGGCAGAAATGTAACTTTATTCTTTCCATTAAGGTCCAGAGTATCAAGATGGAAGGGGACAATCTTCCCAGGACACATCCAAAGTGCTACATGAAATCCTTGGACAGCTGAAGACAATAGCACGAGGTGGGTACAGGTCACTCCTAACCGGCACAGTGGGGCAGCAGAGGTTTTGGATAAATGTAGGGACATGCCATAGCCTCCCCAGCCCACACCTCAGAGCCTCACTGCAGGGACCCTGCAGGTGTTGGCGAGCTGCAAGGATGGTCCAGAATCTCTGCTGCCAGTTGTGGCTCCAGCTGAGTCCCAGGGACTATGGCTGCCCCAGTCAGACCATCCCTGGCCAGAGTGCAAGAAAAATTGTGGGCAAATGTGAAGGATCCTCAGGAATGGGGAGCAAAGCCAGACACTGGGAGAACTGGACTGTGGCCACTCCAGACTGCAAGCGAAGCTGAGAGGAGAGAGAGAGAGAGAGGCTCTGGAGAGCATGGACTTGCAAGGCCTTTGGGAGTTTCCTTGGCTTCTACTGAAGCCACAGAAATGTTGCCACCCAGGATATTCCCTCATTCAGACATGCCAACAAAGTGGGAAAGAACATTTTCTGGCAATGTCAGGGCACATTGATGTGCACAATTGTTCCTCCAGGTGTGAACAGCCTCAGCCTCAACAGCGCCGTGGATGGCAGAAGATTCACCAGCGCTGTGGTGGGCAAGGCAGACCCAAACCTTGTGGATGGCAGGACAGACCCAATTGCTGTGGTGGGCAGGGCAGATCCAAATGCTGTTGATGGCAGGACAGACCCAAACACTGTGGATGGCAGGACAGATCCAAACGCTGTGGTGGGCAGGGCAGACCCAAACTCTGTGGGTGCTGATACCTTCCAGACGTACTGCATAGAAGGCATCGTGGCTGTCCTGGGCTCAATGCTGCTGGGGATGGTGCTGTGTTGTGTATTCCACTTGTGGAGGAAGAGGAGAAAGTGAGTTGGTGGGCCTGGGGGGAGTTGCCAAACTGGTATTGGATGGCTGCTATCAGCCAGAGCAGCCATGGGGTTTTCTGAGCTAAGGTGCTCTGGGTGCCCAGTTTGCCACTGCCCAAACTCAGCAGAGATTTGTGCTGTGAGCTGGTGCCCCGTTTTCTGCCCAGAGCTCTCTGTGCCCACAGCTCCCCTGTGCAGCCGGGTGCCCACACCCCTCGGGGCACCCAGTGCTGCTTCACACCCTCACACCCACCCTGCACCCCCGGCCGTGGCGGGGCCTCAGCAGCTTCCTCTCTCCGCAGGCGCCTCGCAGCTTCGAGAGCCGGCTCTGAGCGCCCCAACAGCCGGGCAGAAGCCAGCAGAATATTTGCAGGAGCGTTTAAATAAAGATCAGCAGCACAATCGACTGGATTGTACTGGCAGCAAACCCAGGATGGGGCCCACCCCCAGCACCCCTCAGTCCCCACGCTTGGCCCCCCCAGGGACACAAACCCAGGCCCACTGTGGAGTCATAAAGCCATCCCCAAACCTGGCATCCCCAGGGACATCCCCTCCAGACCTAGCATGGTCTGAGAACATGAGTTCCACCCCCAGTCCCACCATGGGATCCCATTCCAGGTACCATGGGGGTCCCCATAGCCTCCAGGGCCATCAGCCTCATCCCTGTCCCAAACACCTCTGAGAACATCAATCCCAGCCCCATCCCAGGTCCCAAACACCCCCAGGGCTGTCAGCCCCCCCTCAGCTCCCCATTCCGAGTTCCTGATTCCCTTTGGGGACATCAGTCCCAGACCCAGTGACATCAGAGGGGCCCATTCCCACCCCCAGCCCCATTGTCCCCAGACACAGCAGCCCCCCATCCCTGGGCACCAGCTGCAGCCCCCTCTGGAGACACCAATCCCAGCCCTGTTACGGGGTCCTGTTCCCACCCCAGGTCCCCAACCCCCCTAGGGACATGAACCCTCCTGTCTCTCATCTCCAGTCTCATCCCAGGTCCACCATCATTCCTGTGGAGAGACCCATCACTGGCCAAGGCTGAGCCCAGCAGTGATGGCAGCAACACCTCAGGGATGTAGAGTTAAGAGGGAGTTAAAAGTGTTGCTGCTCTCCCTACTTTGAGACTGCATTGTATTGTGCTGGTTTAAAAGTTAACCAGCAGGGGAAATGAACTCAACTCAAAAGAGAGATTATAAGTCAGAATAACAATTTAATAAAATAATACAATNTTTCCTTGGCTTCTACTGAAGCCACAGAAATGTTGCCACCCAGGATATTCCCTCATTCAGACATGCCAACAAAGTGGGAAAGAACATTTTCTGGCAATGTCAGGGCACATTGATGTGCACAATTGTTCCTCCAGGTGTGAACAGCCTCAGCCTCAACAGCGCCGTGGATGGCAGAAGATTCACCAGCGCTGTGGTGGGCAAGGCAGACCCAAACCTTGTGGAWGGCAGGACAGACCCAATTGCTGTGGTGGGCAGGGCAGATCCAAATGCTGTTGATGGCAGGACAGACCCAAACACTGTGGATGGCAGGACAGATCCAAACGCTGTGGTGGGCAGGGCAGACCCAAACTCTGTGGGTGCTGATACCTTCCAGACGTACTGCATAGAAGGCATCGTGGCTGTCCTGGGCTCAATGCTGCTGGGGATGGTGCTGTGTTGTGTATTCCACTTGTGGAGGAAGAGGAGAAAGTGAGTTGGTGGGCCTGGGGGGAGTTGCCAAACTGGTATTGGATGGCTGCTATCAGCCAGAGCAGCCATGGGGTTTTCTGAGCTAAGGTGCTCTGGGTGCCCAGTTTGCCACTGCCCAAACTCAGCAGAGATTTGTGCTGTGAGCTGGTGCCCCGTTTTCTGCCCAGAGCTCTCTGTGCCCACAGCTCCCCTGTGCAGCCGGGTGCCCACACCCCTCGGGGCACCCAGTGCTGCTCCACACCCTCACACCCACCCTGCACCCCCGGCCGTGGTGGGGCCTCAGCAGCTTCCTCTCTCCGCAGGCGCCTCGCAGCTTCGAGAGCCGGCTCTGAGCGCCCCAACAGCCGGGCAGAAGCCAGCAGAATATTTGCAGGAGCGTTTAAATAAAGATCAGCAGCACAATCGACTGGATTGTACTGGCAGCAAACCCAGGATGGGGCCCACCCCCAGCACCCCTCAGTCCCCACGCTTGGCCCCCCCAGGGACACAAACCCAGGCCCACTGTGGAGTCATAAAGCCATCCCCAAACCTGGCATCCCCAGGGACATCCCCTCCAGACCTAGCATGGTCTGAGAACATGAGTTCCACCCCCAGTCCCACCATGGGATCCCATTCCAGGTACCATGGGGGTCCCCATAGCCTCCAGGGCCATCAGCCTCATCCCTGTCCCAAACACCTCTGAGAACATCAATCCCAGCCCCATCCCAGGTCCCAAACACCCCCAGGGCTGTCAGCCCCCCCTCAGCTCCCCATTCCGAGTTCCTGATTCCCTTTGGGGACATCAGTCCCAGACCCAGTGACATCAGAGGGGCCCATTCCCACCCCCAGCCCCATTGTCCCCAGACACAGCAGCCCCCCATCCCTGGGCACCAGCTGCAGCCCCCTCTGGAGACACCAATCCCAGCCCTGTTACGGGGTCCTGTTCCCACCCCAGGTCCCCAACCCCCCTAGGGACATGAACCCTCCTGTCTCTCATCTCCAGTCTCATCCCAGGTCCACCATCATTCCTGTGGAGAGACCCATCACTGGCCAAGGCTGAGCCCAGCAGTGATGGCAGCAACACCTCAGGGATGTAGAGTTAAGAGGGAGTTAAAAGTGTTGCTGCTCTCCCTACTTTGAGACTGCATTGTATTGTGCTGGTTTAAAAGTTAACCAGCAGGGGAAATGAACTCAACTCAAAAGAGAGATTATAAGTCAGAATAACAATTTAATAAAATAATACAATAAGTACAATTATACAAACAAACAATTGGTCTTAACCCACAAAACCCAAATGTATAACCCAGCATCCTGGGGCATGAACAAAGTGGTGTTCCTTGGGTCCCCCCTGAGTCCAAAGTAAAGGGAGAGGGGAAAAACCTGCTGGTGGGAGAGCTGCTGCAGTCTGGTCAAAAGTGGTGATTGCAGTCCAGTTGAGTGTGGTGGTCTCAGGCTGGTTGAGAGCGGTGAGCTGCAGTCCAGTTGAGAGCAATGAGCTGCAGTCTTCCTCTGGATCCCACGAGTGGTAAAAAGGTTCCAAAACTCCAAGTTTATATATTCTCCAGTTCAGGCAGGAATGCTCAGTCCTTCCCTCAGAGCGGGGAATTCCATAAAAGGGTGTGAGGACAGGAAAATCTTCCTATCTCACAGGCCTCTTAACGCCTAGTTTATAGCCTGAGGAGTCAGGCTGCTCTGGGCAGAGGGTGTAAATGCTCTGTTGATAACAGTTTCTGGGAAATGGCATGGAAGGCTATAGAATACACAGTTTTGGGTTACACCCATCCAGTGATGAATTGGTCCCAGCTGTTCTAACTAGGACATGTATAAACAAGAGTTTGCGATGCAGCTCGGGGTTGGATCTGAAAAATAATCAAAAATAATGTTTTGGCCTTTGAAATTAAGCTTTGGGCTCAAAATTTTACTGTTGGTGGCTTTTTAATAGTGTTGCAGCAGAGGGTTGATATTCCAGGGAACAGGCTACAGGGATATTGTGATACGGGGAGTGTCCAGAGGAAGTGGCTGTCACAGAGGTGGGAGGGGAAAGGAATTGCAGTAGATGGCATGACATGGAAGAAGGAGATGCTGATGCAGTGGAGAGGTAGGTCAGGGGAGCCGTGGTTGTGTGCTCTTGGGAGCAAAGGGTTTATCCTAAAGAGCACACACATACAAGCCATATATCATGACAGAGCCAAACAATAACCTGGGAGGGGACTGGGGACCAGCCTCAGCACCTCTGGTGTGTGCCCACCAAATCCACCACACAATGCAAAGTCAGAACTAAGCACATAGCTGCTGCTAACCATGACAGAGACCCTTTGTTCTGGTTTAGTCAGGGAGGGACTGAATTTTCCTCCTAGTGGCCCATATGGTGCTGAGTTTTAGATGGGAAGGGATTCTCCCTCTCTATTCCATTCTCTGGAGATCCCACCTGGAGCCCACATCCAGCTCTGGGGGCCCCAGTGCAAATAAGACCTGGACCTGTCAGAGCAGGTCCAGAGGAGGCCTTGAAAATGATCCCAGGGCTGGAGCCTCTCTCCTATGCAGGAACCCAAAGAAATCTAAGGGTGTCCAGTTCGGAGTAGAGAAGGCTCTGAGAGACCTTGTTGTGACCTTTCAGTGTACAAAGGGGCTTATGGGAAAGGCACAGAGAGACTTTTTACCAGGGTCGGCAGTGCCAAGACTATGGGTGAGGGCTGTACACTGCCAGAGAGCAGGGTAAGATCGGACATAAGGAAGAAATGTTTTATGGTGAGGGTGGTGAGGCCCTGGCACAGGTTGCCCAAAGAAGCTGTGGCTGCCACATTCCTGAAAGTGTTCAAGGCCAGGTTGGACAGGGCTTGGAGCAACCTGGGATAGTGGAAGGTGTACTACCTGGTGGCAGGTGGAAGGGTAGACCAGACAATCTTCGAAAGTCCCTTCAAACCCAAACCTTTCTCTGTTTATTTCTCTCTTTCAGCCTTTTTGGTTCCTTCTGAGAAAGGACAAAAGACTTCCTCCAGAGATGGCTAGGAGTCTCAGGGAGATATCAGGCACTGACCTGTCTCCAGGAGATGCAAAGCTGCTCAGAGAGCTGACTGGAGGAGTTTGGGGCTGCAAAGTCTTTTTCCCCTCTTGCAACAGTTTTCTTGCCCAAGTTCCTCTGGGAGGGGAAGGCAGGGCAGGTGAGTAGGGGGAGGTGGTGTATGGATTAGAGGGGTTGGGATGTCCTGGGTAAGGATTAAGGGACAAACAAATAATGCAGGTGTCACTGTGGGAGTCTACTATAGACCACCCAGTGATGAGACCATTGAATGACACCTCCAAATCAACTGCCTTTGTCCTTATGGGAGACTTCACCTTTCCAGATGTTAAACTGGGAACACCACACAGCTGGCACAAATAGGTCCAGAGGATTCCTAAAGTCCCTGGACAATGACCTTGTTGTACAGGTACTCACGGAGCTGACTTGCAGAGGTGCCCTCCAGGATTTGTTCCTTGTTACCAGAGAGGGTCTCATGGGTGAAGTGGCACTTAGAAGCCATTGTGGCCACAGCAATCATGAAGCCACCAAGTTTAAAATCTCTGGTGACACCAGGAAAAGTGCCACAAAATTTCAACCCTGGATATGAGGAGAGCAGACTTCAGGCTGCTCAGGGAACTGGGAAAATGTTTCTGAGGGTGCTGGGGTCCATCAGTGCTGGCCACTTTTTTTTTAGTCACCACCTTCTAAGGACACAGGAGCAGCAATTCCCAA